CAAAACTAGCATGAACATCAGTTTCCATGTCAGGAGCCTAAAAGTGCAATTTTTAGAATTCCATGTCTCAGAATCACTGGAAGTGGGTAGGGGTGGAGGGAACTTGTTAAACTGCATACTCCTGGGCCCCTACTGAATCAGAAGTTCTGGGGGTTGGACACAGGGATCTGCATTTTATCGGACACCCCAGGTGGGTCTCATGCCCACTAAAATTTGAGAACTGCCTATTTCGGATTTTTTCTTTGAAGGATATATGAATACTTGCTAAGACCGCAAGCTTTGGAAACATACAGAACCTGCATTAAACTTGTTTCTTCTGCTGTAAAATAAGAGTCACTCTCCCATCTTTCAGACTTGAGAGGGCTGGCATGGAGTAGAATTGCAGGTGCAGCTTAGGGTCTAGTACAATGCAGCTTTCACAACAATGTACCCCTGCCTGGGGCACTTGGCACCCAGAAGGGTTGTCAGATAAAATTCAGGAATTTCAGAAAAACAACAATAATTTTTTTAATACAAGCGTGGCAGCAATGCTGAGGCCAGTTTCCAGGGTGTAGGGCTTGGGAGACCAAGCTCTATGGAGGGATTTGGGACATTGTGCTTGAATAGATAACCTCTGTGACTCAACATCCAACCCTCCCAGAAAGTCTGAGAGCCTCCCAGAGCATTTAAAAGAATTGCTTTCCTACTTTAATTCCCTAGAGTCAATTTCTGTTGCTTGTAGCTGAGAACCCTGACCGATGCAGCATCTATAACTTCCTACTCAACAACTTGCCATCTGTCCTCCATTCCTCCCACTCTGAGCCCTCCCAGAAGTCACCAGGAGCCTCCTAATTGCACGGTCTCTCTGGCTTTTCTTGGTTCTGTACATTTTTTTGGTGGAGGAGTGTATAGAGGACACAGTGCACCCATGGCGACCCTGCGGGGAGGCAGCTAGGGGAACAAAGACCTGACCTCAGTACGCTACTCTAGACTCCTCTGCTCGGGAGCTAGTGGTACCCATTGGCAAACCCAAACAGAAACCAGTGGACGGGGGAGCCTGTTGACATGGTTTCTTCAGGTCAGTGTCATGGGACATAGAACAGGGTAGAGAGGAGGGGAAAGTGAGTGTGGAGGAACAGAAGGAATATATCCGGCATGTAGGCTATATATACACTGTCCTAGGTGGATGTGTGTGTTCTTTGGATCACTGCTTCCTCGGCTGCGCTGGGGCTGTGGCCTTACCAGCTCTGTCTAGTCAGCCAAGCCTCCCTCTCTTTGTACATCAAACACGCTGTGCTTCTGATGCGTGCCTCATGGCAAGTAATTTCTCAACACTCTGGGAAAGGATTTTGTTTGTTTTCCTTAAGTTTGATTAAAAGCAAACGCAGGCTAACACCCCAAAAGAAAGATAGGCAAATGACTTGACAGTTTTAAAAAAACCCCACACAATTAGCCAATAGGCACATAAATAATATGGTATCTCTAGTAAATTAAGAAGTGTAAATCCAAGCAGCGAGATACTTTATTTTGCCTCTTAAATTTGGCAAAGATGAGAAACAAAAAAGAAAATATTCAGGGTTTGTGCAGGTTTGGGGAATATTGCCATTTCATATACTGTTGGCAGAGGGCAGTAGGGTAATTGGAGATTTAGAGAGGTAAATCTGGCAAAGTATTGCAAAAGACTTTACAATGTGCCTATCCTTTGAAATCTTGAAGTCATTGTTCCATATTTTCTTACATCCATTGGTTGTTGATAAAAAGTCTGTCAGTCTCATTCCGCTTTTTGTTTTTGTTTTCCTCTTCTGAAGCTTTTCTTGTTATTGACAGGGTTTGAATTTTCACTAAGCTCTATCTAGGTTGGCTTTTCTTTTCATTGGTCTTGTCAAGTTTTTGGTAGGCTAGTTCAATTTGGGGTTTCACATCTTTCTTCATTCAGTTCTGAGAAATACTATTATTTCTGTGAATAACACTTCCCTTCATTTTTCTCTACTCTCTCCTTCTGGAACCAATCTTCAATTGAGGTTGTAATGTCTGGATTTTGATCCTGTGTTCCCAGTGTGTTTTTCATACCTTCACTTGCTCCTTCCAGGAGAATCCCTAGGGCAGCTCATTCACTTGCTCCTTATGTTTGTCCTGCTCTTCAGCTTCTCTACTGAGTTTTTAAAAATTCATTTCAACAGTTAAAATTATTATTTCAAATATCTTTAGTCACTCTTGTCCTTGTTTTGTGCTTTCCTTATCTTCCCTCATTTTTCTGGGCAGATTAACTACACTTATTTAAGATTTTCTGCTACATACCTTTAGCTACCTTTCCTAGGGTCTCCACCGTAAAGTTTGCTGTCTCTCTTCTATGGTATTGGCCTTCTCTAAATGTTTGTTTATTCTTGTTTTGTGCTAATTTCTGTAACTGAAATTTCATGTAGAACGTCAGCTGCACCTACTTCTTTTTTTAAATCTTTTTTTTTTTTTTTTAAGATTTTATTTATTTATTTGACAGAGAGAGACACAGCGAGAGAGGGAACACGAGCAGGGGGAGTGGGAGAGGGAGAAGCAGGCTTCCCGCGGAGCAGGGAGCCCGATGTGGGGCTCGATCCCCGGACCCTGGGATCATGACCTGAGCCGAAGGCAGACGCGTAACGACTGAGCCACCCAGGCGCCCCTGCACCTACTTCTTTTAAGAAGCCCACTTGGAAGGCAGGGATGGAAACTACTGGCCTAACTCTTGGCACTATTTCCAGAGTCAGCCCTCATGGTGTGGGTTTTCTCTTTCTCTTTCTCTCAGGGGTCACCGGCCCTTGAGAGTACTGCTCTTCTCCCTGCGGCAGGCCCCTCTCTGTGCTGTTTCTACTTAAAACAGTTCTGACACCAAATGTGTGGGATTTTTTCCCCACCAAATCAACCAGTTCTCCACCTCTCCGGATACTGACTAGGTGTCCTACAATTCAGCTCAATTCTGACACCAACTACCTGGAGTCAGCACAGCCCCCACAGGTGAAGGGCTCAGTCCCACAAGACTGTCGCCCACTTCAGATGCCAGTCCTAAGTCCTAGGTCGCCACCTGTACGTGTGACCAGTCAGCTGTAAGTTGGAGTTCTTATATCCCCTCCTCAGGTTCAATAATTTGCTAGCATGGCTCACAGAACTCAGGGACACTTTACTTATGTTTGCCGGTTTATTGTAAAGGATATTGTAAAGGATACAAATGAACAGCCAGGTGAAGAGGTACATAGGGCGTGGTCTAGAAGATTCGTAAGTGCATTCTGTTCCTGTGGAGTTGGGGTTTGTCACCCTCTTGGCACATGGATGCTTTTACCAACCTGGATGCTCCCCCAATATTGTTATTTAAGGGTTTTTTTAATTGGAAGTTTCATCATGTAGGCATAATTAAATGGCTCAATTTCCAGCCCCATCCTCCTCCCCAGAGTTTGGGAGGTGGGGCTGAAAGTTCCAAGCTCTTAGTCAAGATTAGGTTTTTCTGGCAACAGGCCCCTATCCTGAAGCTATCAAGGGGACCTCCAAGAGTTGCCTCATTAGAATAAATGGCGCTCCTGTCTCTCCTGTCACTCACAAAATTCCAAGGAATTTAGGAGCTCTGTGTCATGAACTGGAGCAAAGACCAAATGTTATAACAAAAGATGCTCCTATCACCCTGTCACTCAGGTAATTACCAGGGTTTTTGGAGATCTGTGCCAGGAACTGGGGGGAAAGACCACATATGTATTTCTTGTTCTGTCACAACATCCCACCTCACAGAACGCTCTGTGACTGCTGACTGGCCTCAGCTGCTGGAGGAGTAGAATGACCAGTCCAGCTGGTTGCCCTTGGCCTCCCTGTGGCTGCTGCAGAGCTTCTGCCCGCTTCTGGTCTCCCACCTGCTCGCCCCCCTCATGCTTCCTGGGCCGCCTTTGCTCTGTTCAGTCAGGTACTCTTCAACCAAGTATTCCTTGATGTAGCCCTCTTGCTTTTCAGTGAGGCTATTTATTTAAACCCCATTCTATCATTTCTTGGCATTTGTTATGGAAGGAACATATGCTCAGTCCAACACCTGCAGGTGGAATGGTGTAAAAAACTGTATAACCTTCAAACCAGTAACTCCACTTACAGGAATTTATCCTAAGGAGGTAATTAAGAATGAAGTTTTAAGGGGCACCTGGGTGGCTCAGTCCATTGACATCAAACTCTTGATTTCAGCTCAGGTGGTGATCTCATGGGTCTTGAGATCAAGCCCCACATCAGGCTTTAAGCTCATTGGGGAGTCTGCTTGGGATTCTCTCTCTCCCTCTCACCCTGCCCTTTCTCCTGCTCTCTCTCTCCCTCTCAAATAAATAAATCAATCTTAAAAAAAAAAGGAGAAGAAGAAAGCTTAAAGCCTAAGGAGTTTCAACCACAGTGACATTTATTGTGAAAACAAATAACCAGCTAGAGGGGATTAGTTGGCTGGCTGACTCAGTCGGTAGAGCATCCAACTCCTTGATCTTGGGGTCATGAGTTCAAGCCCCACATTGGGCATAGAGCTTACTTAAAAAAAATTAAAAATAAGTAAATGGTGACACATCTGTACAATGGCAAACTTATTGTGTGAAAACTAACAAGGCAGAATATTGAATTGCATGGAAAAATGTCAAGTTTCAGGTTACAAAATTATTTTAAAGTCTCATTTTTGTTAAAAAAAAAAATACACACAAAGGGGCACCTGGGTGGCTCAGTCAGTTAAGCATCTGACTCTTGATCGCAGGGTCATGAGTTCAAGCCCCACATCAGGCTCCACACTGGGTGTGGAGCCTATACATACATACATATATATATATATATATACACACACACACACACACACACACACACATATATATATATGTATATTTAAACCCCCCCACACATGTTCTTTTAGGAAAGGGTAATTCCGCATGGTGGGATTGTGGTGACTTATTTCTTTGTGGCTTTTCCCCCCACACGCTTGGGGATTGTTTGCAGCAACTGTCATGTGCAAGACTCCCGTGCCATCCTCTGCTTCTTTCCCCAAGGTGTGCTGGAAGATGGACTCTCCTCCACTGGTGTGCCCCGATCTACAGCCCCAGGTGGAATCTCCAACCCAGACAAGAAGATGAGCTGTGGGACCCAGTGCCCGAATCCCCAGAGCCTCAGCTCAGGTCCTCTGACCCAGAAACAGAATGGCCTTCGGACCACGGAGGTAGGTCACAGCCACATAAGCCACTTGGTTCTGGAGAAACGGGGAGAAGCTTGCTTCAGAATAGGGCCACGCTGAGATGGTGCCCAGGAAAGGAGCAGTGACGGCTCCCCATGCCAATGGAGAGTCTTCTACTCCACCCATGGGAAAACTGTTGCAAAGGCAGGACCCCACCCTATTCCCATCCCTGCCTCGAGGGTTGCCATGTTTTGTTGAATCAGCAGAGATGGGCCCTTGCTGTCTGCACTCTAAAGGAAGCGTGTGTTTGCTTAAATACAGCTTTGTTCGAGGATCCCTTCAGCACAGCTCTCACCATCTTGATACTGAGGATGCTACTGGGCACAGGAACCAGTTTGGGGCCAGGCAGTGGGCAGGGAAGGAGAGAGAGAAGACAGGTGTGGTAGGAGACAGGCCAGGCGTTTTTACCTCACACCCTCCCCCGAGGCAGGCAGTGGGAGCATCCCCACGGTGGTGGTGGTGGGGGGCTATCATTGCAGAATGTGGTGGCAGCATCACCCTCAGACTGTTAGTGTTGAAGAAGAGGCAGGGCTGTGGCATCACAGAGCCAGGGGGCCTCCTTTGGAGTCTTTCCTTTCTCCCAGAGCTGTTGTGGGGAAGTGCTCCCCCTGATGGCCCTAGCTCCTCCCACGGGAAAGACTGCCCTTAGTAGGCCCACCAGGGGTTGGCCTCCTCCCTCTTCCTTCCTCCCCCACCTCCTCATCTGCCCCTGCCCCACCCTCCTCAAAGTCCACTGCTTACCTGATGCTGATTTTCCAAACCTATTCCCCCGCCCCACTCTCCCCTGTCAAAATTTACTTGTCCTGTCCCCTCAGGCCAGGGCCACCTGTTTCCTGATTCTACAACTGGTTCTTTAATGATGGAATTCTTGCTCAGTTGAGTGAGTTACCTCCCTAACCCTTGGTTAGAAAACCTGTTGCCAATTCAGCTTTAATGCTTGTTAACTAAGTGGCCTGGCAGGAACCACTTAATCTTTCGGAATCTCAGGTTCCTTATCCACACGATGGAAATAATAGCACAATGAGAGAACAGATGGGCCCGCTCTGTGTAAACTGAGAAGTGTTGTAAGACAGGCAGTAGGGATTAGCAGCGGATGGTTAGGCACACAGCACCCAACAGGATGGAATGAAGCACTGGTGGTAGCTCTTTAGACTCAGAAGAAAGACATGGAGGGGAGGGGATAGACTTGAACTTGAGGGTGGCCCTCTGAGGGTCCTGGATCACCCACTCGGCCTGTGCATGAGCTGGCCTTCTAGAGACGTAAGCATCATTGCCTGCCCCCCAAGGGTAGGCCCCACAGAACTGTGCTCAAAAGCTGGGTGACTGCTTTAGCGCAGGCCTGACATTTGTTCCGGAGCCTCCTTCCCACGCATGTGCCCTCACCCTTTGAGTCAGGCTGGGTCCTGGTGGGCAGGAAGCAGCTTTGCCTGATGTGTGGCCATGATCCATACACTGGCTTCCTGCCCCCCCACCCCCAGCATTCAGCCCTTTAAAATTGTGCTCCGCAATTTACAAAGTGCTTTTAGGTCTGCTGGGGCATTAAATTCTCCCGAGAGCGCTGTAAAGTAAGCATCATCCCCAGTTTATAGAAAAGGAAACCGATTCATTTGACTTATGACATGAGTTGTTCATGTAAGTGCTGGAGGTGGGTGCCAGTGACTTGAACTTGAAACAGGCTGCTATTATAAAGATGGAGCATACAGATGTGAACGGACTCTTTACTGAAGAATAAGGCATTGGTCCTTTATGGCCACAGTAATGCTGCATACCAAAGCACACCAGGTTCGGTGGCTTCGAACAGTCATCTTTGGTTTTTCCCCTCACAATCAGTTGCAAGTTGAGTGGCTAGGCCTGACTTTCGACACCAGGCTCCACGTGTAGTTCCAGCTGTTCCGTGTATATTATTTTGGGAATCGGGCCAGAAAAGCAGCATCTCTGGGGCATGTCTACATGCCTTCTCATGACTACAGTAGAGACCCAAGAGGGCAAACCCAAACTATCGAACCCATTTCATGTCTCTGCTCGTATCCTGCCTGCCAATCTCCTCTTGGCCCAAGCAGGTCACATGGACAAGCCCAACATCAAGAGGGCAAGGAAGTACACACTGTCCCCAGTGGAGAGACAGCAAAGGATTAAGGGCAATCACGCTACCTACCACACAGAACGTACATTCAGAAAAACGCCCACATCGGTCGTAAGTGCAATGAATCTTTATAAGGCGACACACCCATGTAACCGTCATCCATGTGAAGACACAGAACATTCTCCGTACTCCAGAAATCTCCCTTGTGCCCCTCACCGTGGTGACTGGGATATGCCAGTCACTGTCCACCTCTGCAGCCTAACCACTCTTCTGACAGCTAGCTAGATTCTAGGCCAGTTGTGTTTATTTTTTAGACGTTTGTAAATGGAACCATATGGTATGTGCTCTTTTGTGCCTGGCTTCTTTTGTTCAACATGGGGCTGGTGAGACTCATCTGTGCTGTTGTGAGTTGTAAAGATTTGCTCATTTTCATTGTTATGTGTATCCCCTTACATGAACGTAACCATTCTATTGAAGGACACTTGGGTTGTTTCTGGTCTGGGGCTACTGTGAACAATACAGCTGTTAACCTTTGTGTGCATGCCTGCTGGTGGACATTCATTTCTTTTCCGTATATTCCTAGAAGTAGAACTGCTGGTTCATAGGATGGGGATATATTCAACTTCTGTAGATACTGACAAGTCGTTTTCCACGCTAACCAGCTTTACACGCTAACGAGCCGTGGATGAATTCCAGTTATGGAACATAAGAATTTAAAGCCAGAAAGTTAGGGCCCCTGGGTGGCTCAATTGCTTAAGGGACGGACTCTTGATTTTGGCTCAGGTCATGATCTCAGAGTCCTGGGATAGAGCCCCACGTCAGGCTCCGCACTCATCAGGGAGTCTGCTTGTCTCTCTCCTTCTGCTCCTCCCTTGCTCTCTCTCTCTCTCTCTCAAATAAATAAATAGATAAATAAATAAAATCTTTTAACAAATACATAAATAAAGCCAGTAAGTTGTGCTTAGTCTTCCTTAGGCCCATGACAGCAGCCTTGCAGGCAGGCATAGGGCACTAAGCACTTTGTTCTATTATCTCACCCAATCCTCACAATGACTGTAAAATGTTGATATTGTCACCAGTTGACAGAGGAGAACGGAAACTCAGAGATGGCCGAGGGAAGCAGCCCTCGCACCACACACACACACACATACACACACACACACACACACGGTGGGGCCCCCCCCGGAGGCGGGGGGGCGGTGAGGAGCTAGCCCACCTGACCAGCACATCCCCGGGAGCAGGTGGTACCCGCTGAGAGGCCATCCATGCAGGTTGTTTTCACAACCCAGGGAGCAATGGCTGTGGTGTAGCCACTTCCCAAACGGGATCAGGGAGCAGCGGGCTTCGGTTCCGAGTGTTCAGACAGTTGCTCAAGTGCATCAGTGGTCTTTGTGTCCTGGGATCTCACCAGCCGCCAGACGTCTTGCGCCCCCCCAAAAGCCATGGCAGAGGTTCTTCCACCCACAGTGGCGGTTTACAAGCCAAGCTTACCTCTGATTGAAGCTCCTGTCAGCAGCGCTATCTCGTCCCAACATAGCTCTCAGCGGTGAATCTGCTCAAGGAAAATCATTTTCTTCCTAAACCCTCCAGGGCCTCTGACATACCTCTTCCTCGCTGCTCCCCTATACTCTGGGCCAAAGCTTCCTGCCTTTTCAGTGACTGGCTCAGGCAGTATCCACTCGCCTCTTCTCTCTTCCTCTCCCCTCCAAGATGACCTATTACCATTTCACCGCGTTCCCCTGTACGGCATCCGGCCACCGGGCTGATGGCTTTGGGCACTTTCTAAGAGCTTTCTTTCTCCAGAAGAACCTATTCACGAAGCATGCATCTTTATGCACCTGCCTACATTCCGACGTAGAAAACAAGTCTGCGTGTTAGAGGCAATCCTTGCTAGGCCTGGAAAAGTTCTGCTCGGTTCCTGTAAGCACTCCTTGGATTCATTCGTGTCATGTTCTCCCATGGAGGGCCATCGAGGTGCCAGGCACTGTTCTGATGCCAGGGACCCAGGGGTGGAAAAGGAACACGTGTCCTGTGCTCTGAAGCGACTGCCAGTTTTAATGGGGGTGAGGCTGGGGGGGTCAGATACTACAGAATATTCATGTTTGATCTACCTGAGATTCAAGTTGAACAAGGGCCTCGCCGATTTGAAGCAGTGCTGTCTATTTCAAGGAGCTAAAAGGCCATCAATAGGGGATGGCAACTCCTCCCATTAAGGCAGACACCTCCGCACAGGTCGCGCTGCTTTCTGGAGGGCGCTGGGGACAGCTAGCGGGGCTAATGGCTGCGGGTAGCAGCATCTCCTGCTCTGAGCCCCTCGCCACTGCATGTCCCAGCAGACAAACCAGAGCTTCCTTCTTGCAGTCCCCTCGGCCCTGTCTCCCGCCTGGTGTGAATAGGTGCTAGCTAGCGAGAGGAACGTGACGGTAGGGATATTCGGCAAGTTGGAACTGTCTCGGTGGAGAGCTCCTTCTCTTTCTCTACTGTGTCTTGATTCCCTCCAGTCCCTCGGGACCTTCCTGACGTCTCCGCGTCTGAGAAATCCTTGACTGGGTCTCCTTCCCCCAGCCTCTTCCCTGAGCTGGACAAAAACCCAGGAGCAAGTCCTGTAGCTGCTCTTCTGTCCTGCTAATTAATCGTTCAGGAAACTCTGGGCTGCCTCCAGACATTTGCTCTCCAGGCTGAATGTGCCGTTTCCTCAGCCTTAGGACTCCTGTTTTTCTCCCCCAGAACTGTCTCCTCAGGTATTCAGCTAAGGTAGAAATGTATGTGTGGATACAGCTCTGAGCAGACGAAACTTGAGTGTGTGGCTGGCCTCCCGATGAGCCCGCATGTCTTCGGAAGCTGCATCATTGTGAGTTACTTTGTTATTCTTGACAAAGTGGCCAGACTGTGCCGAAGAACTCCACCGATGTCCTGACTGGTTCTCAGCAGAGGAGCTTCCTCCTTCTGCTCCTGCCCCCTCCCCCGCCCCAACCCAGTGTCTGACCGGTGGCCAGGCTCGGTCCAGTCCAGGGAAGATGGACTTCAGCCAGAAATGGCTGTGGCCAAAGAGCGAGGCCTGCTCCAGAAAGGAGGATGGGATAAGCCCAGAATTTCTCCGGGGTGGTGGTAATAGGAGATATATGAGAAGTGTTTGGAAAGTAAATATGAGTTTCTCCTTGCAAAACAAAAACATGCCATTAAAAGGAGGGAGAGGGGCGCCTGGGTGGCTCAGTCGGTTAAGCGACTGCCTTCGGCTCAGGTCATGATCCTGGAATCCCGGGATCGAGTCCCGCATCGGGCTCCCTGCTCAGCAGGGGGTCTGCTTCTCCCTCTACCCTCTTCCCTCTCATGCTTTCTGTCTCTCATTTTCTCTCTCTCTCAAATAAATAAATAAAATCTTAAAAAAAAAAAAAAAAAGGAGGGAGAAAACAAAAGAAACCATTGAGGAAAACCAGAGAGGGAGACCTGTCAGAAGGGCACTTTGATACACATTTTCGTTTGAGCCTGGGAAAGGAGGGAATTTAGCAGTATAGGGATGTGGAGGGGTGTGTGTGTGTGGTGATTTCACTACCTCCATATTTGCAGCTATCTATCTGCTGGCTGCCACCTTATATACATGAAGAATTGCAAGACTCACTATTCATCTAACGGTCTGTAGAAACACCAATCCTACTGGAAGACTCTCAGGGCAGAGACCTCCTTATTCATTATTCCCTTGCCCCCTGAGCCTACTTCAGGGTTATGAATCTAGTATGTACTCACTAACTCCTTGGGACCTTCCTGGCATCTCAGCATCTGAGAAATCCTTGACTGGGCCTCCTTGATTGAATGAGGCTGGCCTAGAACCTCACTAGGATTAGAAAGTTTTCCCACAGCACCACTCCTACCCGGCGCCACCATCATATGATTGATGACTGTACTGTGGGATCCCCAGTACTTTTCTCAAGCAGGTTCTGCTGCCTTCCTAGTGTTTGATCTACCTGAGGTTGAAGTTGAAAAGCAACAACTCCTTTTGGCACTTGCTACCAGATAGATCTAAACCCCTATGCTGAGTAGCCTAAGTGAGTGCCATGCATGAGGCTGTGGCCGGCACAGGATTTGCTCCAGGCTTGGGGGTTTCTGGAGAGTTTTGCCTGAGGTGTAACCTGACCCCTGCCTTTGGAGCCTAGCATCTGGCCCTGGGTGGAGTTGCTACGATCAAATGTTTCCTGATGACCTCGAATGAATGCCATGAAGCAGCAGCAAGTAAAATCACAGAATTCAGGAATAGCTAGACGTTAGTTGTTATCTGTTTCCCTTTAATGGGGCTTGACTGAAAAGAAGAAAAATGTCTTGAGTTGCAGCTGACAAGGCTCAGTCTTTAATCTTTTGGGAAGGAAGAGAGGGGAGCTGATATTTTCAGTGTCTACCATGAGCCAAACACACTGCATATGGCATCATCTTTACCCCTCACTCTAGGGGGGAAGCAGCATTTCCCACTTGGGAAAACAGGCTCAGGAAGGTTAGGTATTTGGCCAACATGGCCCAAGGAATAGTGGTGTGGCTCTGTTAGACTTAAAACCCAGATCTGTCTGCCTCCAAACCCCATGTTCTTCCTTCCCATTACCAAAAAACAGTGGAGAATTCAGAGTAAGCTTTGGCAGAGTTGTGGGAGGCTGGATGTGGGACCCGAGTCTACCATCTTTAGTTCATCCCACCGTCTTCATTGACATTGGCCTTGGGCAAATTATGTTGGCTTGAGTGAATTCCCCTGTCTCATTGGGAAAGGGAGTGCAGTACTATTTCGGGCTGTCTCTCAGGGATGGCGCGAGAAACAATCAATTGTAAGCATAATGTAAATACTGTATGAAAGTTGTAGGGCAGGGCAGTACAAACAGGTGTGCTATTCCCAGGACATTTTTTTTTTTTTTTTGACAGAGAGAGATGCAGCGAGAGAGGGAACACAAGCAGGGGGAGTGGGAGAGGGAGAAGCAGGCTCCCCGCTGAGCAAGGAACCTGATGTTGGGCTCGAGGGATCATGACCTGAGCCGAAGGCAGACGCTTAACGACTGAGCCACCCAGGCGCCCCTTCCCAGGACATTTTTTGTCTTCTTTCTGAAGATTTCTTTTTATACATGTGCTCATCAAGTTATTTGTTGGGTGTCTATTACGTGGTAGGCACTAAATTATATTCTGGGGATATATTCTGGTGAACGCAACACACTGGGTCCCTACCTTCTTGAAGTTTATAATCTGATGAGGATGTGGAAAATATGCAAGTGAAAAAGCAAATACATAATCCAAACCACGGTTAAGGCCAGGAAGGAAGTAAAGAATACTGGGAGAGAGAAATCATTAGCTGTGTTTACCCCTGGGAGAAGCACAAGTGTGGCCAGAGCATAACAATGCCTTTCATTGTGCCTTCTCTACTCTTTGAATTTCTTTTACTATAATTTTGTATTGATTTTATAAATAAAAAATACAGTTATAGAAAAATCGATGTCTGCTAAATCATAATCTCAGTAAGCCTTGCTTGTCTTTGTTGTGTGTGAGGAACTGTGAAAAGGTTCAGATGATCCCGTGTTAGGTATAGATGTATTTGTGGAGTCAAAGTAAAGTTGAGAACATCTGTATTCCCATGTTGGGGGGACGTGAGAAGTGGTGAGCAGACTCAGCTGCACCCTGAGTCCAGGTACACTGCCCTTACTTCCATAGAGAATGAGCTGAGTCGTTGACTTAAAAAACCCCAAGAGAAACAGGTTCATCTGAGTTTGAGGCTGCCAGGAAGTTATCATGGTCAATCTGGTTACCCTTGAGAAACGGCAGCCGATAAATTACTTTTAATTAAAGAGGCAGCATCAGGAGGACTAAAATCCATGATTCATAGAGTTCTAAACCTGCAGAAATGAAAATGAGGCAGAGGGAAGAAGAGAAAAGCTGTAAAGCTGAGTGAGAAACAAGAGGTGGCCCATTAACAAGAGTCAGTGGTGATAAAACTCACAAAGCAAGAATTTTAGAAGTGGGAGAAGGATCGAATGAGCAGAGAGCCACAGAAGAAAAAGGTGCCAACTAGGTTTCTCTCATCACTGAGTTGCAAACCAGGAGATTTTTTTTTTTTAAGCCAGTAATTGCAAATGGGACATGTTTTCTTTTCCTGTAGTTAAATAAAGGGAGTGGGCTGTGAAATAAAAAGGTTTGGCTCGCTGAGAAGCACATCATAGGGGAAAAGGCCTCTTCTACACACTGTCTGAGGAACTAAATAGGAAAATTGTTCCGTGTATCCCGATAGCTCTTCTCTTGTAGGAGGGCAGTGCAACTTCTCAAGAGGGCTTCTAGAGAAAATAATCTGGCATTGTAATTCTCTTTCTCCCTCTCATTTGGGTTTGAAATCTGAGATTTCCAAGGTGTACCTAGATTCCAGCAACGACCCACCCCCCCCACCCCCGAATGTCTGCATTGCTCTTTCATAAAGCACTTGCAAGAGAATGCCTTGTTGTTCTGTTTAACTTGATAGAGTTCACACAGCGTGATTATTTGAGAGTGGACTTGTTTATGGCTTAGAGGCTGTACCCACCACGGGAGTACAGAACTTCAGTTGCCCTTTATCCAAATGCACACGGCGCAGGCTTACCGTCGGTGTTGTTTAGAAGAAGCTGCCGCAAGACCCATAGTTCTGGTAGAATAAGAAGGTTTTCAGCTGAAATTTAGAATGTTTGACATCATCATTTTGCAAATAGAATTAATGGCAGCTCTAACTGGACTGACCGACCATCCTGGTTTGCGGGGGCCTGACCAGGTTGCCAGAACGGAGGACTTCCAGTTTTAAAACGGGCCAATCTTGGGCCAATTGGGAAAAGTTGGTCACCCTATTAATGCTGAGTGACATGCTTAATTCTCTCAAAAAGGCCCACAAAGAATCAGGCATTAGTGCCCCATGTTTCAGGTAAGGCTAAAGCAGCATATCTTGCAGCAGCTAACAGGTGACAAAGCCTTGCCCTAAGGCGAGCTCTGTCTGGCCCCAAAGCTTGTGCTCTGAATAATGCCACTTTGGATGGGCTTTGGATATCCAGATTTAAGAAACTGCAAAAAGAAAAAACAGAAATTGCCCCGTTGTTCTTGAGATTAAAACCATACATATTCTGTGGCTGTTCTGGGAGTGACTATTGTGTAGCTTTGGATGCTTAAACAGGCAAGGAAATGAAGAATCATCCAACTATTGAATTTTTGCTTACATTTTTAAGCTTAGAAAAGCAGACTAAAATATAGAACAGAGCATTTTCTGTGTATAATCTGTAATAACCTTTTGTGAAATCTTGCCAGGAACTCTAAAGAAAAGCAGTTATACTGTTTGGAAAGTTTACATTTCCATTCTGGAAAGCTCTCTTACTGCCTACCGGTTTGAGGGGAAAGCTGTTGTCAACTTGGCTCATTTCAAATAAAGCCTCTGTGTCTCCATTCCATGCCCTGTCCGCAAGGCTTGTATGCAGCAACACCCGGAACGCAAATCCGATGGAATCGGCCTCCTAATTGCCGCACTTTTCTTTCTTTAGGAGACAAAATTGTTTGTGGGACTTCAGGAGTTCTCTGCTTTTAGGGAAAAATAAACCCATCAAAGTCACTGCTTACCCTGGTGCCAGTTCAGGCTTGGAAAAGCTGAGAGTAAGACTAAGTCCTTAAAACAGCATTGACTTCTGGTTGTTCAAACAAGGGCGCATTGACAAATGCAGTGTGCTCATTCATTCATTCATCCACTAATTCAACCAAACTTCAGTAGAGAGCCTGCTCTGTTTCAGATGGTGCCAGGCACTGGGAACATGAAGAGGAGAACAGTGAAGTCCTAGCTCATGACATCAACGGACAGGACTAAAATTGCATATAGACAAAATTATCCCCTAAACGCCCCTCAGATCACCCATAAAGTATTCTTAGGTCAGGTTCCCTAGAAGCAGAGCCCAAGACGAGGATTCTTGTGCAAGCAATTGATTGAAAGCAAGATTTCACAGTTTCTGGGGCAGAGGACCCAGTTCAGGCTTATATGAGCTCTGCTGAATCCCACATGGAGCCTGATCCCACAGGGGCTCTGGAGCATGAAGATGCCATAGATTTATATCCCCTCAAGGCAAAATGGCCAGCCTTTTGTATCCCCAACAATGAGACATTGGCTTTGGGCTGTTTCCAGGAATTAGTTTGTGACCTCTGTCGCATTTCTGAGCAAGGTGGCTCTGATCAGATGAGGGCAATTTTCAAAACATGGGTGCTGCTGTGAGCAGTTAGCTGCCAAAACTCACAACAGTTGGGGGATGGATGCAGCAGGCATGTAAGAGAATCTGGAAGGGGTATCCCAACAGCTACTACACAGGATTTATGTGACAGGTTACAGACTACAGATCATTTGTTAGTAAATCAAACAGGCCACTTTCTTTTTCTCCAGTGGCCCCATAGTCCACCATGTCTTTGGATGCACTACAGATAAAGTAGTTGTCTTGTATTCAGGGATCATATTATATTACGAACATGCATCTATCCACACTCACACCCAGCATGGGGAGATGCTCATGCACTGGGAGATGCTCCCTCAGATCTGAGGCGGACCGTGTTTTCCAGGAGGCAGACGTTGAGATGTCATTATACAGGATGCTCATTGGGCATCAACCACTGTGGTGAGGACGGATGGAAGCAGGAGTGGCCAGACGGAGGAGGTGAGCCAGCCAGATGCAGGCTGAGCAGCAGCTGCAGCTGACCCCACCCCGTGGGGACCTGTAGAGCCTAGCGGCTTGTCAGAGCTGGCCTGCTTTGTGTCCAAATGGCCAGGCCTTTGTACCCCCACATTGGGCCAGCTAACTGGGAAGTTATTTACTGACCCCGTTCCCAGGAGCTAGGCACCAGGTCTTCCTGGGCTGGGGATTGGGTGCCACCTGTCTCTGTCCATCCACTGTGGAGGCAACTCCTGTGACCCCTCCCGTGCTCACTCCAAGCAGTTGAGCAGAACGGGCACAAAATCACTCCCCACTAGTTAAAGTTTACTCTTGAGGTGGGACACATGTAGTTGAAGAACCTACAGTTTAGTCAGTGCTTTAGTATTTAATATGAACTCTGGACTTTTATCATTGGTTTATCTTCACTTAGAAGTGGATAATCTATCTTACTTTCTACTTATTATACTTACTAAATCTTTTTGTGGTCATTTTTTTTTAAAGAGTTTATTTATTTGACAGAGTGAGAGACAGCCAGAGAGGGAACACAAGCAGGGGGAGTAGGAGAGGGAGAAGCAGACTCCCGTCTGAGCAGGGAGCCCGATGCGGGCCTCGATCCCAGGACCCTAAGATCGTGACCTGAGCCGAAGGCAGACGCTTAACGACTGAGCCACCAAGGGCCCCCGTGGTCATTTGTTTTTTAGTGACAGGCATTATGCTGAGTCCCTTAATGCATGACCTTATTTAATCCTTACAATAATCTGGTGAGATAGGTACTATTAATATTCCCTATTTTATGGATGAGAAAACTGAGGGTTAGGTTAGAAAAAAACTTGCTCATGGTGGAATTATCTAGTCAGTGTTTGAACCACAAAGTCTGTCTGGCTCCAAAGCTCCACTCCTTCGCTGCTTTACTAAAGCTAACTGTGGAACCTTCCACACTAGCCCTTGATGGACCTTAGCGATAAATGCATTCATTCCGCAATGTTTTACTGAGCATGCCTTATGCCAGGCTCTGTGCTAGGTCAGTATTAGAGTTTCAACAGAGAAACCTCTGAAAAGGAGTATATGTGCATGTGTTCTCGTGGGTTCTTCTTCCTGCCTCTGTGTGTGTGTGTGTGTGTGTGCGCGCACGTGCACGTTTATGTAACAATCTCAAGAGATGAATGCAAATTTGAATATTTTCTACTAACTCAATTCATGATGTTAAACTTTAACAGGCTAAAAGAGATGCTAAGCGAATGTCTGCAAAAGAAGTCACCATTAACGTTACAGACAGTATCCGACAGGTGGACAGAAATCGAAGAATGGCGAAGAACTGTGTTAACTAGCAGAGTGTTCTACTAGAAGGGCGGACGGACTTCTTTGGTGCCCTCCACATGCTGGACCCCGTCAAGGAGTCTCAAAGAAGTGGGTGGCCCTTGCTGGGTGTGAAGAATGCTGCTGCTTGAGACGCTCTTACCTGGCAGGCCAGTGGCCGCCTGGGCTTTTGGGACATTCTCTGCCTCCTACTTACCACGTTGATGAATTGGCACAGTACTTGCCTAGGGTAATAAGCTGCAAATGTGCAGTTTGCCTCTTTGCAACTCCTGCAGTGTGGTCTGATGGAAAAGTGGTGAGCGAAAGCCACAGGTGGCTGATGAAACAGAGACAAGTAGGAGTAGGTTCCCTGGTGAGAGATGCTCACGTGGGTTCTGAGCTCTCCCGCGCGTGGCCGTGTGCACTGTTGCGGGCCAGCTAGTTCTTTCATTCGTTCCTTCGGAATACCGCCAATACCGCCATCAGAAAGCTTACCGTGTTCACTTAACAGCTGTCTTTCACCCAACTGCAAACCCAGATATAGGAGAAATCACGAACCAGGAAAACTCCCAGCTCTACTTGTTTCCTTAGCTCAGTAGGAGACAGATTCAGATCCCCTGTCACACAAACTAACCCCCCCAACACCCACAGCGTGTTTTGGGAGCTCTCCATGAGGCAGTCACACCCATTTCTCATCTGCCTTCCATGTCCGCCCCCCATACCGGTGTCCACGTCAGCCTCCGTACCACAATACCGCGGTCACCATGGTCCACGCACCCAACCTGGGACGCCCTTCAGGGCTCAGCCAGACACCGCATTTACAGAGCTTTCCAGGTCTCTCTGCTTGTGCTCTTGGTGTTTGTTCTCTCTAGGTGGGTCATTTGCAATTGTTGATCAAAGCGCGGGCATAGCTCACAAGAGGGCGATGATCCAGAACCCACCAGCAGCATACACGGCTTCGCTCTGGCCTCTTGACCACGGCGCCAGGACTGTGCCATGTGCTGTCTGTGAAGGAGTTGTTTTAGAAAGCCCGGACCTGGTTGCTGTGCATTCACGTTGACATGAGACTGATGCGCCCTGTGTTAGACATCAGAGGTGGGGAAAATGTTATTATCTAACATTTCTTTAAACATGTTCAGGTGGAAGTACTTCCTCCAAAGTAATGTAACATGATTTTTAAAGGACTGTTAACATAGCCTGGATTGTGAAAGGTAGGACTAAAGATGTACCAGACAGTACCAATAAACTCCGTGTTTAGCAGAAATAGGCAGCCTAATGGTGTGTTTATATAATATGGTCCAGAGAATTGACATGCCTAGATTACAATTTAGAAACGGCCTCATGACCTGCCAATTTTGTTATTCCTCAAACACAGGAAAATAGTGCCCGTCCTTCCTCCCTTCCTTCCTTCCTTCCTTCCTTCCTTCCTTCCTTCCTTCCTTCCTTCCTTCCTTCCTTCCTTCCGTAGACTGTGTATTTATCCATTTAACATTAAATACCAACCCTGCACCAGGCACCTTGCAGATGTTGAGAGATTTGGAGTCTGGCCGGTCACACTTGTATATCCTGACTCTAACAGTGGACTTAATAACTAGGTGACTACATTCAACCCTAAGGTATAGGGTATGTTGTCAATTGTTCCACAGTGGAACTCACTTTTACATTCAGAATAGGTTTCTCTCTTAAACCCTGGATCTGGGCATTCTCCTAATCACTGCACAAGCCTTTACCCTGCACAAAACTAGTTTTCCCAAACCTCCATCATTTTGAGGTTCTTTGAGAAAGGGCTTTTAGGGGACTTCATGTTTTGAAAATGAAAAAATAATGATAAAATAAAAGCAAAACCTGTGACTTCTATGGCCCCACCGGCATTACTCAGGAGCCCCCAACTGCCAAAGGTTGGCAATGGTCCTGCAAGTTCAAGGGCTCGTTCTCCCAGGGCACATGCGTCGTGTTTCTGTGTGGGGTGTTCCTGCCCCCCCCCACCCCCGCCCCATGTGCTATCAGTCGTGGACAACACCAGTTTCTCTTCACATCCTTCTTTTTGCCTCACTTACTGCTGCACGCTGTTTGGGATTTAACTCAAGAGAGCGTCTGTTTCATGTAGAAACAAGGTCTCACTTCTGGGGGAGAAGGGAATGAAGGGCATATATGATCTGCCTCTCCCTGGAACAATCTGGATTTCACAAAGGTAGTGATCAGAAGTTAAGCCATGCTACTGGAAATTCATCTGGCAATTTTTTCATGTGCGTGTGATACAAGAACCGATTCTCACAATCCTATTACCATCACTTTCTATCGTGAAGTTTGTGGCGATAAAGTCATCAATTTCAAGCCCATATGGACAATATAGAGAGTCTTTACTGGAACCTTAAATTTATATTTAGGGCTGTTTAGATTTTTTTCTTTGACAGAAATGTCTTTTATATAAGTGATCTCTGTGAACCCTTCAAAAAGCATATTATGAAGTAGGTAAGGAGACCACTATTCTCCAGTTGAGCAGAGACTCAAGGGAGAGAAGTCTGCCTGCAAATCCCGGGATTTTTCCGATGTATAGCGTGGTGCCTTTCCTGGCAAGAAGGTCTAATGTGGCTGGGAGGCTGAGCCATTTCACAAGGTCTGAGAGGAAGCTGAGCCCCAGTCTGAGAGGGTGACAGCAGTGACTGAGAAGGGCTGGGGAGCTTGGGGATTTTGGGTCTGACCCAGGCTTCCTTATCCCTCCAGAGAGGGTGACCCTGACCTAGCTCAAGAGGGCATCTTTGGTGAAGGTCAGAAGAGCTGCTAAGACTTCAAGCTGAGAGGAACAGGGGCCACCAGGAACCTCCCTGATCTGCCCAGGCCCCAAGCGCTCCTTGGGTGCACAGGCCAAGGACTGTACCTCCTCGCCTGTCCCGCCATCACCTCCACAGTGCTCCCCGCTACCCCAGGCTACCTGAACACACTCCTGTTTGGACTCCCTGTTAATCTTCACCTGCTAATGACCCTCACCAGCCCCACTCGCCAGCTACCCCACCTGCCACAGAAATGTATCCCATCCATGTTTGCTCCCCCAAGCAGGGTCACAAACCAGCAGTATCTCTGCTGGACCAGATGACAGACATGCTTACTGTTTGTCTGTCATGGTGTTAAAACCCGAGAATTTCACAGAAAAAGCTAGCTCTGGTAGGGACTTCTAGTTTAGAACTCCATTATCCATCCTCCCGTTCTTCCTTAGCTGGGCCCATATCCACTTAGAAAAAAGATTATATTTTTCAGCCTCCTTTGCAGCTAGGAGTAGCTATATGATTTAGTTCTGGCCAATGAAAAATAATAGCGGGGCATGGAAGCCTCCAGGAAGTCTCCTTTCTTTTCTCCTTTTCCTTCCTGCTTCCTGGAATGAAGAGGTAATGGCTGGAGCCACAGCAGTCCGCTGGGTCATGAGGTGACCTTGAGAATGGAAGCCATGCTGAGCTGAGCAATAAATTAGAAGAAGCCTAGGTTCCTCGTTCCACTGAGTCTCCATGGATTGCACACCCCAGACCTCTTTTTGTGAGAGAGAAATATACTTCTACCTCATTTAAGCTACTGTTTCATGTCACTACTCACAGCCAAACCCAATTCTAGTTGATATACAAACTTTCCGTCTTCTTTTGAAAATTTGGGAGATCTTACACCTCTGGTCTCTTACTGCCACTCGGCTACAGTTGGCTGCAGCTGATAAGGGTGCATTAGCTAAGTTACGAGGTCTCTAGATTGTCATGGCCCCCACCACTCATTGTGGCTTACACACAGCAGCTTCCAGATTGGTGTTACCTGCCTGAGCCCTGAGACATTGGCATTTGCAACCCCTGCCCCAAATTGTGTTCCCAACATGTTCTTTTCAGGAGTCATCAAAATATAGAAGGTCCTTTTCCCCATCCCAGCAGTCTGGGAAGCCATTCTCATAAGAATTTTCTGGGCAGGCAAATTACAAACGTGACTCAAGAGGCACCTGGGTGGCTCAGTTGGTTGTCTGCCTTTGGCTCAGGTCATGATCCCAGGGTCCTGGGATTGAGCCCCACATTGGGCTCCCTCAGCAGGAAGCCTGCTTCTCCCTCTCCCTCTGCGGCTCCCCCTGCCTGTGCTCGCTCTCTCTCCGTCAAATAAATAAAATCTTAAAAAAAAAAACCCAAACGTGACTTAATATTTAAAGTTATGTGTTCACTCACACTTTCATTTACTCCATGTGTATTTATCTCAAAGCTTCAATGTGAGTGAAGAATAAAACAGACCTGGCCCCCTGCCCTCATCAAGCTGGCATTCTAGTGAAGGAAACACAATAAAAACAGATGAAAAGAAATAAATCATCACGATAATTTAAGATGGTGATAACTGCTAAAAGAACATTAACAGGAGGGGCACCTGGGTAGCCCAGTCGTTTGAGCGTCAGGCTCTTGGTTTCGGCTCAGGTTGTGATCTCATCATGGGTTGTTGGACAGAGAGCGGAGTGGCGCCCCCCGCCCCGTGCTCAGCGGGGAGTCTGCTTGAAGAGTCTGTCCCTCCCCCCACATGCACACGTGCACATGTTCTCTCTCAAATAAGTAAATCTTTTACTAAATAAATAAATACAAGACTATTAACAGAAGAATGGACTAGAAGGAGGCAGGAATGCAAGCAGGAGACCATTGAGGAGACTCCCACAGTGGCCCTGGGGAGGGATGTTAGTGGCAAGGAAGAGGGTAGATGGATAGAAGTTTCTATTTTGGAAATAGAAACATTAAGATTTGCTGATGGAATGGGTGTAGGAGGTGGAAAGAAGGAAGGAATCAGGGCTATTCCTAAGAATCCAAAGATTGCTAAGATTCCAAAGTTCAACATGGTTCTTGGTAAGACAGGGTACGACAGGGTGAGAGACATTTTGTTGTTAGTGGTTCACACAGCTGGGCTATCCTTCCCTGTTTCTCTGGCAGTGAGCTCCTAAACTATTTCAGCACTTTACGTCTCCTTCAATTACCTTGGGTTGTTCCCGCAAGCCACCCCGCAGGGAAGACCGTAGAAACCAGCATCAGAAGGAGTGTATTATTATTTTTTTTTTGGAGTGTATTCTTAATTCTCGTAGGAATATGGGACCTATTAGAAGATCCTGACACAATCAGACAACGGATCACCCAGGTTTTTTAACCCAGCAGAGAGCATGTCTGTGTTATTGTCAGCCCGAGCTTTGCAGTTTTAGTTTTTTAACTAGGCCTTCTCCAGGTGGAACTCCACTTTAAAAGAAAAAGGGGTGGGGCGCCTGGGTGGCTCAGTTGGTTAAGCATCTGCCTTCAGCTCGGGTCATGATCCCAGGGTCCTGGGATTGAGCCCCACATCGAGCCCCGCATCAGGCTTCCTGCTCGGCAGGGGGCCTGCTTCTCCTCCTGCTCATATTCTCTCTCTCTCTCTCTATCTCTGTGTCTCAAATGAATAAATAAAAAAACCTTAAAAAAAAAAAAGAAAAAGGGGTGACTAATATTGCCCTTTCTGATCCTTTTCCATAACATGGCCATGTGCCAGGGAGAGAGCCCAAAATTTTTGTTTGCATTTTTATTTCATTCATTCTCTCATAGAGAGACTCATTCTCTCAGTCTCTCATAGAGAGACTATGTCCTTCTGTTCTAATAGCTACATCAGCCATGGGATGGACTGTGAAATAGGGGCTGGCAGCCAGCCGGCCAGGAAAAACAGAGCACAGGCCTCAGGTGCAGGAGACAAATCCTAACGTGTCATTTTCCAACTGTGTGCCCGGGGGGAGGTGTTGCAAATTGTGGAGGCTCTCAGAGGCTCACTTCCTTTCAGCGGAAATAATAGCATCTTTTGAGGGTCTGTTGTGAGGATTCAGTGAGACAACAAATGTAGGTCACATGGTGTCGGTCACCTTATAATAATAATGGCCCCGCACCAGGTACAGAGCTGGGTGCCTCGCACACACGCTCTTCTCTCTAATCAGTAAAGCAGTCCTGCCAGGTGAGCCTCGTCGGCCCCCTTCACAGATGAAGAAACCAAGACTGAAAGGCAGGATGCCACCGCCTGCAAACAGGGAGCTGGGACATGCCTGCCCGTGAAACCCCATGCTCGGTCCATTGCATCATCAGTGTGAATTTCCTTCCTGTCCTGGTGGATGGCAAGTGACTTCGCAGCCCCATTTATAGCGTCCGTGTCTCAGCACTTCCAAGCTGCCAGCGCTAACGCCGGGATCAATGATTGCACCCTACATACGAATCTGTGAAATCTCACCCTCATTTGTTCTCAACTTTTCTCTTTTTTTTCTTAACAGCAAAGGCAGTGGCCATCTTTTGAATTGTGCTATAATATTAAAATTCTTTTGAAGGTAATACTAATACATTTGGGGGATCTTTCTAAAACGTACTGCAAACCTGGGTATTATAGATCTACCATAGTGATCACTCCTTCCTTTTTGTTCCAGAACAGGAAAGTGATGGCCTGAGACAGCTGGGTTGTCAAGGAGAAAGGTAGCATGCAGATGGTAGCACCGAGCCATGGAGGCCTCTCAGCCACCGTTTCTGGAAAGGAACAAAATGGAATCGAATTTTTTCCTCGTTAAAAAAAAACTTAGCAGGTGGAAAGAATGAGGATCGCTTGGCATGGATGGTTTGCAATATGGCTGCACAGTGGAATCACCTGGGGAGCTTTCGAAAACAATTTATGCCTGGGTCCCGCCCCAGAGATTCTGGTTTAATTTGTCTGGGGTGCAAATCTGCAGGGGAAGAGGTTTCAAAATTCCCTAGAGGGTTCTCGTGCACAGCCAGGGCTGAGAACTACTGGCTTAGCTGATCACAGACAGAATTAGTGTCTCCAAAACGCTGTGAGTGGATCTTAAATCCGAATCCCTGGGTTTGAATCCCAGTTTCACCACTTACTAGCTTTGTGACCTTGGGCAAGTCATTTAACTTCTTTATGCTCTGGTCTGCACATTTATAAAATGAGGCTAATTGGTAGCCCAAGGTAGCGGGGGCATTTAGTAAGGCTCTGTCTGTAAAGCCCTTAGCACGCTGCCCAGCATATGAAGATAAACACAGGGTTATTAATTACTGTTGAACTGTGCTACAACCCTGAAATTCCAGGACATGGGCAAGGCCTGACATATAAAACTCAGCTCAAGGGTAAATGTACCAGAGAGCTGGGCCCTTATTTGAGCACGTTGTATCCTCCAATTCACCACAAATGTACCTTTTTTCAAGATAGGCACTTCTTATTATAAAGGAGATTTCAAAATGGAGCTAGCAAGCATAGCTGAGAAAAATCTCTTTGAAATTGGGTTGGGAGGCCATAAGGGAGGAAGAATTTACGGGCGTCCTCATCAGAGAAACTATGAACTTTTTGTCAGCTGCAAGCCCTTGGCAAGGACCTAACTCCCTCCTCACCATGACACCTGACTCATTCGCATTCCTCACTTTGAAAAGAGCCCATGTGATTTGACAAGTTTTATTCCCTCATTTTCGTATTAACCCAACCAATCCCACACCACAGTTTCAATCCCTGTTCTGCACAGAGGATCTAAATGAGAACTGCACACATGACCTCTGTCTTTCTAACTCTGCTCTTCTTTGTCTTCCTTGGAACAGGAGTCAGGTTTCCACCTGAAGCGGTGCCTCCCGAATTGCAATTCTAATTGCCCACATAAATGCCTGTTTACTTAAATTTTCAGTGAATTCTTTCTTGGTCATTATTCAATACAAAATGTACCTGGGGCACCATGGGATGAGGAGAGCAGCCACCTTCAAGAAATTGTCCTAAGGAACATGTCCTTGGCTCTGGGCAGAAAAACTGACTCCGAATAATGCAGAAGAAAACTTGCTTCCTTGGCTTTAGGCTGTAAGGGGTTGGTGTTTCCCTTTAAAGGTGTCTGAGCTTCCATTTGCAAGCTCTCTGGAGTTAAACTGGTAACTAGCAAGTGAGACATGATTTTAGATGTAAGGGAGTCCCTAGTGAGGAGCTGTCTGGCAGTGGATTGGGGATTTTCACATATTTGTTTTGCACCAATAAAATGTCTGGAACCTGGCATCAAAGATGCAAAGCTGTTCTCTGGGAAGGGAGAATGCTCAGCTCCAGCCCGTGTGCCAAAGCTGGTGATGTCCCCTGCAGGCCCAGGGTAAGCTCATTGGATTCTCCTCGTCTGTTTAAGACCTCTTAGCTTCCTTCCTGGCTGTCAGACCCAGGAAAGACCCAAGTATATTCAAAAAGATCACTTACGGGACATGGAAAATTAAATTCTTTTAAAGATCCTTCTAGAACAGCTTTATTTGACATCCCTGAAAGACAAAGAATATTGGCAATTCACCTAATTCTTTTTTTTTTTTTTTAAGATTTTATTTATTTGCGAGAGAGAGAATGAGAGAGAGAATGAGAGGGAGGAGGGTCAGAGGGAGAAGCAGACTCCCTGCCGAGCAGGGAGCCCGATGCGGGACTCGATCCCGGGACTCCAGGATCATGACCTGAGCCGAAGGCAGTCGCTTAACCAACTGAGCCACCCAGGCGCTCCCTCACCTAATTCTTGAGTAAAATCAAGGCTAATTTGTGAGACGCAGAAAAGCCTCTGGACAAAGAGTGGAGGAGACTCTGGTAACCCTACATTTACTGCTGTAGCCTTGACTCCATTCTTACAGCCTCGGGCCAAAGGCCTGGAATAAGGACAGACCCCGGCTTGGCTCCAGGCTGGGCTACTCGCCGTGAGGTAGCACAGCTCGTGGGCTGGGATTCCAGTATGGCTTTATTTTTGTCTCTGTCTCTTAAAAATGTATCCTAAAAGGGAAGGTTTTTCCTTGGCACCTACAGCAGCCCTGAGACTTTTCTGGGCACTCTTAGATATCAGAAAGCCAGCTAGTCACTGGGAGTCACAAACGTGATCTCCATTCAGAAATGGGAATAGCAAGTCCCAGGGAAGTTACCAACAGTGATGTGGATCTTCACTCAAAGGTAAGCTCTCTGCCCCGCTGGGCTGGCGGCCGCAGGGAGGGCCTGGAGGAAGTGGCTGACCGGCCACGGGGCAGAAGTCCAGGTCAGCTCCTGCCCCTTATTTGCTCACCTCCTCTTTCCTCCATTCCGGAGTCTGCCAAAGGATGAGGGGGAAGGGAATGGAGAGTTCTCATTTCACAGTTTGAAGTTTGCTTTCAGGGGCATCCAGGTGGTGCAGTCGGTTGAAACATCTGACTCTTGGTTTTGGCTCAGGCTCTGATCTCAGGGTTGTGAGATTGAGCCCCGTGTCAGGCTTCGAGCCTGCTTCGAGTTTCTCTCTCTCTCTCTCTTTCTCTCCCTCTCTCTCAAATAAATAAATAAATCTTTAAAAAAAAAAAAAAAAGGTTTGCTTCCAGCTCTCAAGTTCTTGTAATACTTAAAGCTCTTATTTTTGCTGCTTTGGTGTTTTTGTTTTGTTTTGTTTTCTGGGCATTTCTGTGTTCTCATAAACTCCCTTGCTGGACCCCTCCAAGCGCACCTCCTGGGCTGGGGCCCTGTGGCTGTTGATCCCACTCTGCCTTGGTTCTGGGGATCCACTCCATATAGTCTCACTCTGTTGAAGCCCATCCCCCAAGCTGTCCGTCCGGGCAGGAGTCCACATGACTCAGGCCCAGCTCTGGTTCCCCCTGGACAGCATCTGGCCTGGCACAGGGTGGGTGGTCAGAGCTGGCCTCTGCCAAGGGGACATTTGAGCCGAGAGCTGAGTGACTAGAGGGAACCTGCGGCACAAAGCTGCCATCTGGGCAGAGAGGAGTCCGGGCAAAGTGACAAGCAAGTGCAAGGGCTCTGAGTGCAGCTGGGGACTGGGCAAGGCCAGCGTGGCTGGAGCCAAGGGAGAGCGGGGCGAGGGGCGGGGGTCAGGTGGGATAGCAAGGCAGAGGCCGGATCGGGAGGGCATCACGAGCCGTGGCAAGGAGTTGGAGTTTTATTTTTACAAGGTCCTCTGGCTGCTATTTGGAGAAGTAGATGGATTTGGGATACATTTTAGAGGTTGAGCCACAGAACTTGCTCTTTGGCTTAGAATCGAGACAGAGAACAAGTGAGGAAATAAAGATGATCCCTACGTTTCGGGTTCAAGCAATTGGCTGCTTGGTGGCGTCATTTACTAAGAAAGAGAAACTAGGGGAAGGACAGGTTTGGGAGAGAAAATCAAGAGGTTTTTTTTTTGCCCTTGCAGTGTCTGGAGGCTATTACACAGTGAAGATATTGAGTAGCAGTTGGAAATTCAAGTTCTGTAGCTTGAGGGTGAGATGAGATGGTCACACAGATTTCAGAGTCATTTGATCCAAAATGTGGGCTTTTTCTCACGCCACCAAGCAAGTCTTCGACACCATGTGGGTGTTCCGCAGTTCAATTCAATTCTGACATTATTTCCCTGCAGAATCCAGATTCAGTTCCACAAGACTGCTGCCCCCACCCCACTTCAGATGCCAATCAAAAGTCCAGGTTGTCACGTGTGCTATAGATCAGAGGTTCCCATGACCCAATCCCTGGGTTCCATTCATTTGCTAGAGCAGCTCACAGAACTGAGATAAACATTTTACTCACTGTATTACTGGTTTAGTAAACCCTCAACTGTGAGACCCTTCAGATGTGTATCAGTGAGTCACATGCTTAGAGGATGATTCCTAACATGTATTTTTTGTGGGGGGGTTGGCATAGAGAAAAAGGGAGCTTCCAAGGGAATTTCTATATGTTTAAAGTAGACTCACAGGATCCTGGAGGGTCAGGCTAAGACTGTCTTTTGCCCTTGGCAAAGTGTCAACATCGAAGGCAGCTGAGTGACCAGAGGAAGGTCACTCTGCCTGTTTCCATGTCAGTGGGCTGGAAGTAGTAAGGAAATTTAATAATTTTTCTTCGGCCTTTCTTTCCCACATCACTGAGGACTTTCCGAAAGTCACCTCATTAACAAAAGACACCTTTATGGTTCCTATCATTTAGGAAATTCCAAGGGTTTTAGGAGCTCTGAGCCAAGAAAGGGGATGAAGACCAAATATATACTTCGCATTATAATATTGCAGTATCACATCAGCAATACACGATGTTTAAATTCATGGGACTGAATGAACTCACCTGGAGTGGGGGATGTACAAAGAGAAGCCCTTCCTCTCATTTTATGGATGAGAAAACTCCCCTCAGAGAAGCTGTGTGCCAAGTTTTCACAGCCAATCAGCAACAGAATCAGGACTAGGACCCAAGTCTAATTGCTGGCTAGGGTGACACTGAAGGATTCTGGGATGGGAGACTCTCAGTGCTAAAATCATGGCAGTCCCAGGCAACCCAGGACAATCTGATCACCCTGGTCCCAGACCAATGATCTTCTGGCCATTTTCTCCTTTGGCAACGGCAGTTGAGACTTGAGTGATTATAGTCCATGACTCTGTTTATTCTTGTTTTCGAAGGAAGATTGTTTTCATTCTTGTTCTATGTCCATTTTTGTTCTATGTCCATGAACTATTATGTTCATTTTGGAGGAGATTTAGCTTTTCCTGAGAGGAAAATATGAGCAGTAATTACCATGTTTTCCTGCTCCTTCTGGAATGCTCAGAGCAGGAAAGCGAATCCTTCTGGATGGTACCACGTGATTAACCCTCCAGACAATGTGGAAACGTAAGCTGGTAGGGGAGGCACAGGAGAGAATGAAGCTCCCCTGAGCCCAGCCTCTTGCCCAACTCAGTTTCTGCTTATATTTTGGTCACATCCTTTCTCTCCCATCCTTTGCCTTTATCTCTCCCTTCCTAATGCCAGTGCCTAGCTCTGTAAATGTGTCCTCATCCGTGTACCTTACATCTCACAGTCAGTGGCCCTCTCTCCACCAGAGTGCTCGAAGGAGAAACTCTGGAGTCGCCTTTGGCTCTTCCCTCCGCCTCTGTCATGGAATCCTGTTTCATACCCTTGACAACGTCTTTCCCACCCGTCTTTTCCAGCATGCTTCCCAACCACCACCTTCGCCCCCAGGCCACCACGCCTCCTGGGTTTCTGCAGACCTCTCCTTACCTCTCTGCCTCCCTGTTTGCCTGAAATCCAGGCTCCACACTGCTGGCAAAATGACCTTTCTAGAATTGTTCACTGCCCTCAAGATCCAGACTCAGTAAGACTGGCTTACTGAATATTCACTTCGAACTCTGGCTCCTTCTACCACCTTTAGCCAGTGTCTGCATGTGGATCGGAAAATCCTTTTGCATCTTCTCGTGGGGAAAATAGAAGACCATCTTATGTCTGAGGTCACTTTCTTTGTGGCAGCGATTCGCTGGATGCATGTAAAGGAAACATCAATCATGTCCTCTCATCTAGCTTCTGTCTCCCTGGCTCCAGCCCAAGCTACCCAGCTCCACGATGCAATCTTCCCAAGGAAGGGTTTCGGTGTGGTGGGAATATCAAGGGACCCCTGTAGATTTCCATCCCTGCCACCTTCAAATCCGCCCAAGTATTTTAATCTATCTGAGCCTCGTTTATCTAATCTGTAAAACAAGGACACTCAATAAACATTGATTATAGTAGTCCTCCCTTATCTGTGGTTTCACTTTCCACTGCTTCTGGAAGCAGATAATCCTTTTGACCTGTCCTCAGAAGGTCAATGGTAGCCTAACGCGATGTCCCAGTGCCTGAGTCATGTGTCAGTCACATCACTTCATCTCATCCCATAGGCATTTTATCAACACAAGAAGGATGAATACGGTACAGGAAGATTTTGAGAGAGGGAAACCACATTCAGATAATTTTTATTACAGTATATTGTTATAATTGTTTCTATTTGATTACTGTTGTTGTTAATCTCTTACTATGCCTAGTTTGGAAATTAAACTCTTTCATAGGTATATATGGTACAGGAAAAACCGTAGTGTATATGGGGTTCACTACTTTCCACGGTGTCAGAAATCCGTTCGGGGTTTGGGAACATATCCCCCGGGGATAAGGGGGGGCTACTGTAAATCAGAAACTTCCCTGCTCTAAATTTTCAGTAGCTCTCATTGCCTGACTTAAGAACCAGTTTCTCAGTCTTTCAAAGCCCTCCTTCCCTTGCAGCTCTAACCAAGCTGCACATATTTTGTGCTTCAGATCAGGCTCCTTGCAGCGCTCCGAGTGCCCATTACACATTCTTCCTTTGGCTCAAGTCTCCTCTGGCACATCCTCTCCCCACCGCGATGGGAATCTTACTGATCTTCCGAGGTTCAGTGCCAGTGATAACTCATTCTTCAATGAAAATTTCTTAATCCCCTCAACCAAATGTAACCTCTCTTTCCCCTGAACACCCCAGGGCTCTCTCTAGAGCTTCTGGCACCAATCTATCCCTATCATAGATGTTCTTATGCTCGTCTATAAAGTGATAAAGATACTTCACTTTATGGGAAGGGCCTTAGCTCCATAGAAGGTACTGTGTTGAGCATTCTGTATGCTCAGCAAATGTTTATTAGACTGAAAGCACTAGTGGGACATAGGGATTAGAGAAGTCCATGACCTAAATGCTTACTTAGGAAGTCATGAATTCATTTGTCATTTATCAAGCATTTACTGAGTGCTTTTAAGTCCTGTGGGCATAGAAAGAATTTTAAACAGAGATCCAACTCCTCATGATCTCATAGCCTAATCAGACAGCTAAAATATAGAACGATAAACACAATAGGAAATCAGAAGATAAACACGAGTATAAAGACTTTATTATTGCTGACTATTTTTTTTTTTTTTAAGATTTTATTTATTTGCGAGAGTGAGAGAATGAGAGACAGAGAGCATGAGAGGGAGGAGAGTCAGAGGGAGAAGCAGACTCCCCGCCGAGCAGGGAGCCCGATGCAGGACTCGATCCTGGGACTCCAGGATCACGACCTGAGCCGAAGGCAGCCGCTTAACCAACTGAGCCACCCAGGCGCCCCTATTATTGCTGACTATTATAAAACTCCTTAAAAGACTCTATTTTAGTCTTTGTAAAATCCCAGCATCTAGATATATACACCTAGCCATGGTAGCTTAGAAAAGGGAGCAAAGAATTTTTACTTCCAAATGCCTACTAAGTGCCGTGCAATGCATAGACATTATCTCATTGTCAGAGATCTTGGGGGATATTATTAGTATCTTCATTTTATAGATGAGGAAACTTGGTTTAAGATTTGTTGTGTAACTCGGAGAAGGTCGTACAATTAGAAGTTCTTAGCCAGCTTTTAAACCCAGGACTCTCTGATATCATTCGGCCTGTGATATCCCTTTCCGGTCAGCAGTCAGACCACTACCTGAAGGCTCCTGAGTGGCCTAAACGTCGTGTAGGCATCTATTCTAGGGACTGGAACTACTGATCGGAAGCTGTGAGAACTTGCCCCTTGCCCTGAAGACCCAGACGTCAAAGGAACCAGGGATACTTGGCCTGGAGACAATAAGATCCAGAGGAACTATTCTACCAGGAAAGGTAAGACATGCCAGGTGACAACTCAGGAAAGAATGGTCCTTTTGAGACCTGAACACAAAGTGCCTCTTGGAAGTACAGCCTTTGAAAGCGCCACTCAGGGGCTTCAGGAAGAAGAAGAAATAAGGGTATTGAAACACAGCACTGAAGATATTTTCTACTTTTCACAGGGAAGCAATATCTGACTTGCTCCCGTTTCAAGATGCATTTGCCCCTGGTCCTTCAGAATCGATTTGCTGTACCATGATGGGCAGTGGTCAGCAGAAGCTCAGGGCTCCAGGGATGACACAGAAGGCTGAAAATTCTCATTCTCCTGCCAAGTTCTTATTTACCACTGAGGTAATCTGGAGAAAATAGCTTGAGACTTTGTGCTCAGTTTCCTCCTCTGGATTCAAGTTGGAGAAAACAATGCTAATTACATTTCTAACAGCAGTGAATACATTTGAAAGTCAAGCTCTTTTGCTATGAGAAGTTTTTGTCATAATTAAGGAGTGTGCCATACACTAGTCATACGTAAGATTTGGATCTGTACTAATTTGGGTGGGAGTGGGACCGAGGGTGTCAGTATATTTGAAAAAGCTCCCCAGGTGACTCTGGTCTGCAGCCGGGGTTGAGAATGGCTCGTTGAGGGGAAAGGACACGGGCTGTGGAGTTAGACTTTTGTTCAAACCCTGGGTCTGCATTTTCTAGTTGTGTGACTTAAGGTGGATTTATTAATGATTTAAAGCCTCAATTTTCTCCTTTGTCGAGGAAGATGAAGTAGAGCTTAATGGGTTTGCATTAAAGATTAAATGAGATAACTAACATAGGTAAAATATGAAATTGCCTGGCACAGAATGAATATCTTATAAATATCTGTGCTCTTTCTCCCTTTAATACGTAATCATTTTTAACAGATTCAAGTGATAATCCTTACAGAAAAGGGGGCAAAACCCATTGACCTTCTGTCAAGAATGGAAGTAAGAGCACATTGGTATTGATCTGGGTAGATAAAGGAAGGATGAGGTCAAATCTCATTTTACTCTGTGATGGATAATCATATAAGGGTTGCAAATCACAGGTCTCAGAATATTCTATTGTTGTTGTTTTCAATTAAATTTTGCAGTACCATACTACAGAATTTATTTTTTTTTTCAGAATTTTTATTTTAAACATCTAACAAACTTTTTTCTGAGGTATTTTTAGAAATCAAGAATTACTTGGGTTTTCTGCTCCATTTACTTTTTTTTTTTAAAGATTTTATTTATTTATTCATGAGAGACAGAGAGAGAGACAGAGGGACAGGGAGAAGCAGGTTCCCCGCGGAGCAGGGAGCCCGATGCGGGACTCGATCCCAGGACCCTGGGATCATGACCTGAGCCGAAGGCAGACGCTTAACGACTGAGCCACCCAGGCGTCCCTCCATTTACTTTTTTTATTTGCTTGTTCGCTAATGGTGGCTATCAGTTGGATGTTCACAACATTAAAAAACAAAACAATACTTAAAAATACCCAATAGAACAAGATAACTTTATTTAGTTATAAATCGGGTAATGCGGAACATGGCCCAGCCGATTGGTTTTGAATAACCTTATAGAAACTCTTGGAAGTCAGCTGAGCAGAGGGTCAAAGAGATCTTTTTCCTCTTGGTCCCAAAGACTGAGGAGCTTGCCTAGCCCAGGGGATGACTCAATGTTGTATTGCTCTCCCACCCCTACTTAAAGGATATGGATATTAGATTCTATGATGAAAACAAAAAATCATGTAGCCGTAAGAGAACCTGGGTGGTTCAGTTCAATCAGCAAAACAATGCTCAATTCATAAGAAATAAATCCCCAATTCATATTTTTCTTGAAAGAAAAGAAGTTAACATTTTCTTATAAAAGCTATGTGCATCCATAGCATACATACAATATATACATAGTGTATATATTTTATGTCCTACGGTGCAGTCTAAGTGCTTGGGCTCAGGAGGACAGATCTCTATCCAATCTCAGCTTCCCAGTTAGTAGCTAGGTAGCTATCCTGCTAAGCCTCAGGTTCCTCATCCTTGGAATGAGAATGATAGTAGTGCAAATCTTATCAGAGATCTGCTGTGAGGACGAGGTGCTGGTGCTGGACACAAAGCAGTCACTCCAAGTGAGCTATTGATACTAAAAATGGGGGGGGATTACATATTTGGAATTCATGGTCTGCAAAGCACTTAGAACAGTGTCTGGCATGGTGTTGATTGAACCCCAGCCATTATCATCAGCAGCCCTGCCCTCCTCTTTTTTTTTTTTTTTAAATATTTTATTTATTTATTTGACAGAGAGAGAGAGACAGGAGAGAGGGAACACAAGCAGGAGGGGTGGGAGAGGGAGAAGCAGACTCCCGGTGAGCGGGGAGCCCGATGCGGGGCTCGATGCGGGGCTTGATACCAGGACCCTGGGATCATGACCTGAGCCGAAGGCAGACGCTTAACGACTGAGCCACCCAGGTGCCCCTTTGCCCTCCTCTTCTTCATCACCCTAGTAGCTGATTTCATTACCTGTAACGATACTCAGTTCCGAGTTACTTTTGGAATGCTTTTCTTCTTTTCCCTCTAATTGCCAATGCATTTCTCCTAATACGTAGGATACTGTTCTGTATAGATAAAGTTTTGTGATTTGTCCTGCATAACCGACCACCTGGGCCTGCATGCACACAGGCAGGCTAAAAGAATGTTGTTTGTGAGACTCCTGCTGTGTGAATAACCTTGGGAACCTAATTGTTTAAAATATATTATCTGGCCTCCAGGTCAGAACTGGCCCTTCTGTTCTGGATGCCAAGAGCTACAAATCAAATCTTCTCACATCCCCCTAGTGCTGCAGGCGGGGCTGGCCCCCTGGAATGGAATCCGGGAGGGGAGGCAGACATAGCCCAGGCTCCTTGAAAATAGAGAAACATGATCACATGAAAATGCAGCTCGCTCCAAATTGCACGTAGGCGACCAAATGTTTAATTTCAAACCCTGTTATTTGCCCTATAAATATGGCCCTTATGGGGATGGTCAGTTGGAAGTCTCACCTGAGGGGAGGACGCTCCTCTCAATGGGACTCCAGCCTGGCTGTCTCCCCAGGGCTTCCCCAGCTGATGAGGTGGGATGTTGTAAGTACCCGATTTGATGTAACTTTGCCTCGTTCTCATTTATTGCCCACTATTCCCTTCGTCTACGTGTAGATTCCTTTCCTCTTCTGTTTCTATTAGGTTTCTATAATAATAATAATAATAATAATAATAATAATAATAATAATAATAATAGTTTTCTTTCCTATTTGAAACCAAAACACGGCTGTTATGAATCTGTATAAATAGATATTTATCCCACTATTTCCCAAAGTGACCCACAAAGGTGTCAGTCAGCTCCACACAACCATGAGACAATATTGGACTCATGGTACTTAATATACATATTCAGTAGTTAATATTTCTTTCTTTTTAAAAAAAATTTATTTATTTATTTGACAGAGAGAGTGTGCGCACAAGTAGGCAGAGTGACAGGCAGAGGGAGAAGCAGACTCCCCACTGAGCAAAGAGCCCAATGCAAGGCTCCATCCTGGGATCACAACCTGAGCTGAAGGCAGACGCTTAACTGAGCCACCCAGGCACCCAAAATAACTGATGTTTCTTGACCACTAACCAGTACTAGGCACTTATGCAAGCACATTCATTATTTCACTTAATTCTCAAAATAATTCTTTGAGGAAGTTTCTCTTACTACCCCTTATGGCTGACACTGTGGATTGGCTACTCAAAAGTCATTTACATCCCTTTCCTTCTTCATGACTGGAATGCTGATGTGAGGACGAGTGTGCAGCAGCCATTTTGCAACCACGGGACAGCAAGCAGGAAGACGGATGCCTCCATGCTGAGGATGTCAAAGCAGAAAGAGCCCCACAACATTCATGAGCAGCTACAAGGGCCCCGAATGGCCCAAATATGGACTTATTATTAGATCAGAAAAATAAACCATGAAGTAACTCTGACAAATTTTCTGTTCCTTGGGCCAAATACATGTCTAATTAATGCATTTCATGTTATGGATGAGGAAACTAAGACTCCGTGAATTTGGGTAACTTTTTCAAAGTCATGCAACTGGTAGGTGTTAGAGACAGGATTCATACCCAAATCTGCCCAAGACCGACGCACATGCTAGTAAGCACAAAAACCACTGCACTGCCCTCTCATTCTCGCATTTCCATCAGGGGGTTGTGGCTCATCCTTTCCAAACTATGTGTCACAGAATTCAGAGATTATTCATAGGTGAGCCTCAGAAGAAAAACTTCTCTGGTAAAATAAGAAACACTTCATCCTATGGTCCTGTTTTTGTTTTTGTTTTTGAGAACCTCAATGCACAATATATCAAAGTTTCTGAAAAATTCTGCAACAAAGAAACCTGCCTGACTGGTTGTGAACTCAGAGGTTCCCAAACATATTTGCCTATGGAACACATTTTTTTAAAAAGTGACAATCCTTTGAGTTTCCTTCAGAACATTGTTCCCCGGAACACCAATTTGGGAGGTCGTTCACTGAATTTTAATTAAGAGTTATTTCCTTAGCGTTGGCTTAAAGTAGAAGAAAGTGAGTCACAAACAATTTGCTACTTTGTGAATATTCTTGAGGATTTTGTCCCCTACACAACTCAGGGCAACCTATGTAATCGCAAAACAGTTTCTGTGAGAATTTGGGGCCAGGACAAAATAAACACCTCCTGAGGAAATTGTCTGCTTCCTTTTTTCTAATAATGAGAATTATGTGACTTACTGTGTCTTCTCTTCTGCTTTGGCTTTCCGGAAGCTCAGAGACAAATGGGAAACAATTGTTGGCTCAGGTTCCTGGATTTTACGTATTTATGTTTTCTTTTATCTGATCTTGATTTTCCTCGGTCCTGATTCTGTATTTGAATTTTATTGGTATTATTGTGTATGTTCTTGTGACATGACATTCTTTGTGGAATGGGGTGGAGTATAAACAAACATGAATCAAGACTGTCTTGAAAAAATATAAGTCACATGGCCTTGTCAACATGGTCATCCCTGTAATGCCTGATCAAGGAATCCAGTTAATTCATTTGCATCGATACTATAAAATTGAAATTATACTACATAATTGAAATTATGTCTTATGAATATCTAATAAAAGGAGGGAAGTAAGTCTTCACAGGGGCATCTATTTCTAGAGATGAAACATAAATACCTTTTCTTTTATTTGACTATATTCTAATATAAATTGAACTTTTATTAGAACTAATTCTACTTCTCTAGATTGCTGAGCTAACTGAACATCCATACCACCAAATTAGGCAACCATATTAATCACAACTGTAGGGGAGGGAAACTTTTTCCTTCTTCCCTTCTAGGGCCTTTGGCTGGTCTAATAATTAAGTTGACATGAGAAATTAACAGGAGAAAAACACATTTAATTTCCTACGTATGGGAGCGTCAAAGATATGAGGCTCAAAAAAGTGACCAAAGCAGGCAACTTTTATACCTTTTAGACAAAGAAACAACACATTTGTGAAGAATTGACACAACAATGGGGTTTAGGCTCGGGTGGCAAATTAATGAAGCAACAAGGTTTATTTATACAACCTTCTTGGCTTTGAATTCCCTATCTCTGGCCATAAGGATGCCTTCTGTCCTCCTGGTATAGGGAGGATACCTTCACATGGGAGATTTATTTCCTGCTTTCAGGGAAATGAAGGACAGTCAGAGTGTCCTTCTTGCACCAGCTGTTTCTCAAGTAACTTTAGTTTAAAATCATGTGCCAAAGTGGCATATTTTTGGGTGGCAGGTTGTGCTTCCATTCACAACCTTGCAGAAAAATAAAATCAAGAAAGGCAGACATGCCCTATGTTATATATCTATTTGAGGAAACTTAATTTAGTTAACTATGGTTGACTAACCATTACTTCCTTAACAAGGAATAGAATTTGCAACACAGAGGAGCAGTAAATTACTCATGAGGTTGATTACCT